TGATTCAGTGAACGCCAGTGTCAGTGTATATACTGATTCAGTGAACGTCAGTGCCAGTGTATATACTGATTCAGTGAACGCCAGTGTCAGTGTATGTACTGATTCAGTGAACACCAGTGTCAGTGTATATACTGATTCAGTGAACGCCAGTGTGACTTTATCGGTGATCAGTATACTGAAACTGCACATCCCTACCTAAGTAGGAACTTGTATATGATCAAGAGAGACTTCTGATTTATATCAATCTTATAAAACATACTTATTGGTACATTGGACGAACAGGTATCTTCTTCATTGTCGACAGATTGATAATTTTCTATTAAGTAAACGTAGATATTCTAGATGAATTATAATGTACTTACTAGAACGTTCAATAAGAATGCTCATGTCCAAATTGAGTTCCTTATATTCAGGTCGTTGTAATTCATTAATAAGATCATCTGATACTTTTCCCTTTCCATCAATAAGAAGTTCATAACAGGTTTCACGAAAACTTTGTAGATTAAGACCAGATATACCAAATTCACCTAATTTGCATTCAAATTCCATTTGATCATCTGTTGAAAATGGATCAGGTAATCTTTTTACATAAACAGCCGTCCATTTAGAACTAAAAAATCCTTTTTTCACTATAAGCAGAAGATCTAATTCGATCAATTTAGCTAATGCTGAACCAAGAATGCTAGCCGATCGTTTTATAACTTCATCGGTATAAAGATTAGATGATGTGAAGATAATGGATCGAAAACGAAGCACCCGTGCCATAATCTCGGTCATACGTGGCTGTAATCGAATAATACGTTTTTGTTTTTTTGATAGCTTTTCGCTATCTTGTTTACGTTTTAAAGATGTTAATGCTGACGATGATTGTTTTACTTCTGTAAATCGTTCTTCCGGTGTTAAATACATTAATAATTTGTATTGTTCAATGTTTTCTGTTATAACATCTCGACATCGTTCCACCATATCAAATGTAATATAATGTTGAATGAATTGATTATTTTCATCAATAAGGTATTCAGCAAATAAAGTTTGTATATGATCAACAAATTCAATTGTAATTTTGCCATTATTTGGAAAATGATCATATTTTACAAGATATTTGAGACCAATTGAATAGGCTAATTCAGCAATATACAAAAAACCAACAATTCGATGACAATTTTGCACACTTTTACCGAAACGAGCTGCCATATGATCGTTGTTTTTTTCTGCAGCACCTTCAAAAACAAAATTGCAATTATTTTAATCATAATGGTATATTAGATATAATTAAAAGATTTCCCATAAGTCCGTTGTCTATTTTAAACTAATTATTCCTAGTATACGACTCGAAATATTATTATATTCAAAGTTATTTAATTTGTCTTATCGTTCGTAAATTCTAAGAAAGTCTTCTTCTATAGTTTTCGAGAAGTTATTTTTTAGTTCTTTCAACTACAATTATCCTTTCTAGTTAACTTTTTTTTATTGTTGATGAATATGTTTGTAGTCTCTTCACTTAAACTATAGTATGTAAAAAAAACGTTATTCCTCTCGAAACAAAATAAAACGCATAATTCATAGCAAAAATGCTTTACATGCAGAAACGTGATTATTAAATTTTGAAGTTTTTTCTTCCTATGTTCATTGTCTCTGCCAATTCAACATCTACTAAGTAATATTATGATTTATTTATTCTTTATTGTTAATCTCAATATCACAGTCAATTTAATTGCTGTCTAAATACATCTTTAATATGTATGATCATCATCAATGTGCAGAGCAGTGATAGTGAGAAGTTATGCTCTATCATTTTTTATAATTATGTTTTCTAACTATTCTATTTCTTACAAAACACTTTACTTTTGATTCAAGCATGAAGCTGAGTATAAGAAATAACAAACGCATGTTACAAAACACTGCTTTTTTCTCGGCAACATATAAGTATATTCATAATCATCAATATCCTTTATTCAACTGACAGCTAACATACTAAAAAGAGTCATACAAAAAAATAAATTAATCGTCTGTGCGAAGTGTAATACAAATATGTACAGAAGCGTACCAACATCAATAATATACATACTGTACAAAAAATGACTATCTAAAAATTTTGATCTGACTTGTAATCCATTAATTCAACAGTCTTGTTTCACAAGACTTTTTAATATGTCAGCAAGCTTACAATAAATGCATCTTTCTCGTTAAAACCAAGGAAACAAAAGACTTTCTTCAAAATATGATCTAATTAATACCTTTTAGGTAGAGCTACAAGTCTCTAAATGTATTAATTCATTGAAATCAGATAAATCAACTCAGTGCGGTGTCATTATAGAATTAAAAGAGTCTTACTTTTCTTCTTTAGATCATCACACCATGCAATCATTCTTTCATTAGCATCTTTATCAAAATATAAGTCAATATTCTCAATAAAACTAACGACGATAGCAAATTGTTCAATTGACATATATTTGCTGGTATCAATATCCATAACACAAGAAGCAGTAGGTATTACTTCACCATCAAGTGGCCAAATCATTGTGCGTTCAAACAACGCATCAGCCATGGAACCGGATGCTTGGCGCATCAATGCAGCAATTATTAAATCACCTGATACTGCACCCTGTGAAGCATGAAAAATTATATAAACCAAACAGCAATTTTAATACTCACCAAAACGTTTAATTTTGCATCAAAAACTTGAATACTTTCACGCTTTAATCGTCTCGTAAAATTATGCGGTCTATCATATAAGGTTAATAATTGACTTCTGCAGTCATTAGTTGACCAATCACGAGACCCAGGTGGTGGTAAAGTATAACCCATTTTCTTTAGTACAACATCAGCCTCGTCAGTAATAAGAAAACGTGTACAGCCATTAAGACTACTTACTAATCCAGCTGCAGTGTTTTCATCAAAATACACAATCTGGTCAAATTCTTCTCCATCTTTTGAAGCTGATTTAAATTTTGATGGTCGATAACGAACTACTTCATCAATGGATTTTCTCACTAAATCAAGTATTGGTGATTTTCCATATGCTAAATAAACAAAAACAATCCCAGCTAAAGCGATTTTTATGACAAATATCTTACAAGATCTAGCTACCACCAAATTATATAAATTCATCGGTAATGGAAACTTGTTTGCACGATAAATTTTGCTGTTTTCACACATTACAGCCACTATATTCAGTATCACAATCACCATAGCTTCATTGTGCATTTGATTAAAAGACGCCAGATGATCACTATATTCAGCTAAAGCCATTGAAAAACATACGCTTGAAGTCATTTTCAACCGACAAGCTAGCGAAAAATTCGATTGAAATCGACCAAACATTTTTAATAAATAAGAAGTCAATTTGAATGTGAAATACAAATATTCTTTTTCTTCTCTCTTGTGTTTCTTTAATGTGAAAAATATTCAAAAACCTTCAAATACCGACCAATCAAAAAGAAAAACAATTTTGAATCACCAATCAAATTTAAGTTCATTCATCGCTGTTCACTATACAATAGAAAAACAAGAATAAGAAAAACAACAAAATCAAACTATTCTGTATAACAAAAAGTTCAACTTCCTACTCTCCCCGATTATTGAAACAGTTGACTTTATAATAAACTTTAAACATATCTTTCGATGAGACATATTCGTTTTCTCTTTGCCGTTCTTCTGATATCTACAAAATCATTTTTCCTCTATAGTAAAGCACTTTTCCGCTGTCTTTTCATTTTTCCCTGCATTAAAAATATATGTATATACATATATATATGACAGACATTTTTCGTTCCTGTTCGGACATTATTCCTATTAGTTCAAATCATTTTTCCTTTCTAGTAAATCATTTTTCTCTCGAAGTAAAGCATTTTTCCACTGTCATTTCATTTTTCCTTGCTACTAAAAATATATGTATATAGATATATATATAACAGACATTTTTCGTTCCTGTTCGGACATTATTCCTATTAGTTGAAATCATTTTTCCTTTCTAGTAAATCATTTTTCTTCTCTAGTAAAGCATTTTTCTGCTATCTTTACATTTTTCCTTGCAACTAAAAATATGTATATAAACATATACATCAGAAACATTTTTCGTTCCTGTTCGAGCATTATCCCTATAAGTTGAAGTCATTTTTCTGCTGCCTTTTCATTTTTGAATACATTATGTATGTATAGTACAGATCGCTCTCTTTATCGTGCAACAATTTGATGTACATGATCATGCATATAATAACATTTTTGGCTGTGGGTGTGGTTGCGGGTACGGGGCGTGGGTGTGGATGTGGGTGTGGGTATGGGTGTGGGGTGGGTGTGAGTGTGGGTGTGGGTGTGGGTGTGGGTG